TGGTGCCATTAGGACCTGCAGATGATGGGATGGTACTGTCCCACATAGAAGGTAAATCTGCCCCACTCAGTCCACTGACTCACACACCAGCCTTCTCTGGAAACATGCTTATAGATGTACCCAGAAACAGTGCTTTATCTGTTCTCTAGATATTTCTTGCTCTCCTCAAGTTGACACCTAAAATCACTATCATGCTACCTTATATAAAAATTAACAGCATGAATCACATGAAAAACTTGAGTTATGAAATCTCTATAGGAAAGCAAAAGGTACCAACTGCAAATATTTATGAAATGTCAGATCCATAAGATATAAAAGTAATGAATTTAGGCCCGTTGAAGTTTGAAACTTCTGTACTATGAAAAATATTAGAAGAATAAAGAGACAAACTTTAGACTAAGAGAAAATATTTGTAAGTTATTTGTCAGAGAAAGAATTGGTGTCCAAAACTCAATAATAAGAAAATAACCTAAGAGAAAGTGAGCAAAAATTTCAGCAGGAATTTTACCAAGGAAAATACATGGATAGTGAAAAAGTACATGAAAAACATTCAAAACCAATCATCATCAGAGAAAGGCAAATGAAAATTACACTGAGATACCTATTACAATGGTTTCTTTCTTATTATGTATCTTTGGTTACAGCATGTTTTCAGTACATCATGATTGCATTTATTGTGGGGACTTTGTACATGTGGATAACACATCTTAGTTCTTTTTTGATCCCTTCCCCTCCCATCTCTTTCTGGTCCCTCCCATTCTTGATCCATTTCGCCTTTGAAAAAGCTGTTTCCATTTTTTCTTTGATTTTTTTTTTAAATCTTTTTTTCCTTCCTTCCCCCTCCATCTCGTGTTCCCCTGCTCAATTTGAAAAACATCTCCTGAATTCCTATTATCATTTATTTGTATTTTAACTATTTGCATTTAAACTTGTGTATCTGGTTAACTTAAAAAATAAACTGACAATGTCACATGCTGGATGCAACAGTAACCCTCATACATTTATGCTGAGAGAAAATGTTAATATGACAGTTTTTAAAAATATCGAATTAAACATACACTTAAAATATTCAATAATCTCACTGTGATGCATATGTCAGTGGTAAATTAAAATTATGTTCACACAGTAATTTGTGTACAAATTTACCTGAACTTATAGTATATTTTGAATAGGAATGGTGAGAATAGATATCTTTGATTTGCTTTTGAAATTAAAAAGTATCCTGTCTTTTAACCTTAAATAGTATGTTAGCTGTAGGGTTTTCTTTTTTTGTAGATATCATCTATCAGGTCAAAGAAGTTTCCATTTAGTTCTATTTTGCTGAAAGGAATGGATGTTGCATTTTTACATGCTTTTTGGGTGATCTATTGGTATAATTATATGATTTTTCTTTAATATATTGATATGGTGAACTACATTGATTTTGAATTACTGAATCTACCTTATATTTCTGGTGTTAACCCCACTTGGTCGTTATGTATTATCTTTTTTATATATTGCTAGATTAATTTACTTAATGTGTTGTTGATCATTTTTGTGTCTGTGTTCGTGGGGGATGTTGTAGTTAAGATTTGCAAGGAAAACAATTTAATACAAGATACATCATTTATAGGGTTATTTTATAATAGTCATCCAAAGAGTCAAATACAAAAGAGTGCAGGAAATCTGTCCATACACTACAGACCCAGAGAATCCAGCTGAAGGCCTGGATCCCGTGGCAATGTCCTGCACGAGTCCAGCTGAAGACCGAGAACCCATGACAGTACGCCTGAGTCCAGCTGGAGGCATAGAGCCCACAAGAATGTCTCATGCAAGTCTGTTTCACGGATCTGTGCTGGGAAGTTCCAAAGGTCAGTGGTGGAAACTAGAAAATCTGTGCCAGCGGGATGAAGGATCTGTGCCACTAAGCTGAGGGATCAGCATCGGAGCCAGAAAGTGATGCTCAAAGTAAGGACCAGAGCTCCCCTAAAAAGTATAACAGCCATCCTCAAGAACAACGAGGTCCTGAGATCCTCTGACGATAAGAACAGCCAAGTTCATATCAGGAAAGTCAGCATGACAGATTTCTACAGGAGATTCATCTGTGCACCATCTTGGAAGCAATGCTCAAATTGAGGACCAGAGCACTCCCAAAGTGAACTGTAGCCATTCTTAGTGACAACAAGGTCCCAAGCTCCTTCAATAATGAGAACAGCCCAGTTAATATCAGGAAAGCCAGCATGACAGGCTCCTCCAGAAGAACCAACAGCACTACCTCTTCCTCTCTAGTTCTCCTTTTTATGCTGTCAGCAGTAATCCTCAGGTGGGCCCTCCATGCCCAGCACCATGCTGTTTCAGTTCAACTGGGTGTTACAAGTTGACCACCAATTGTCAACAGGGGCTATCATGCTCAAGTTTTTTTGGAGTATCATCATCTGGTTTTGTATCAGAATAGCACTGGCTTTATAAGATGAGTTGGGAAATGTTTTCTTTTTCCTACCCCATATTCCAGGACAGTGTGTGGATAATGAGTATTACTTACTGTTGAGATATTTGGTTGAATTTGTCATTTAAACAATCTGGGCCTCATTTTGCTTTGTTAGTAACATGGTGTGTTGACAGAATTTGGGGCTCTAGACTCAAGCAACAGCAGCTTAATATTTGACTTTGATTACTCCCTATAGGACATTGGGCAAGTTGCCCATTCCCTCTAAGCCTCAGTTTCTTTATCTATAAGATGGGAGGTTGTGAAGATTAAATAATAATATACATAATATACTATTGATTTCAAAATCTCCTACAGGGTTGTAGTAATTAAAACAGTATAGTACAAAAAAGACACATCGAGCCATGGAACAGAATAGAGAGCCTAGCGGTAATATAAATGTCTTTGCATCTACTACCAGCTGATTTTTTACACAGGTGCTAAGAACACACTTACAAAAAAAGAGAAGCTCTTGAATAAGTGGTGATGGGAAAATTGAATATCCACATGCAGAAGAATAAAACTAGACCCCTCTCAGTACATGCAAAAGTCAACCTAGAATGGATTAGAGATATAAGTGTAAGAACTTCAAATATGCATTTGCTAGACGAAAACTTAAGCAAAATGCTTTAAGACATTGCATTTGGCAGAGATATTCTGGGAAGGCCTTAAAATCACAGGGAACCAAAGCAAAATCAGACAAATGGGCCACATTACATTAAAAAGCTTCCACACAGCAAATAAAGCAGTCATTAGGATGAAGAGGCAGCCTACAGAATGGGAGACAATATTTGCAAACTATAATCTCTTAAGGGATTAATATTCAGAATATATAAGGAACTCAAAAGCAAAAGATAAAACAACCCACTTAAACTGTACACTTGTTCTAAATAGAAGTGTCTCAACAGATGCTGTACAGATGGCCAATGGGTACATGAATAAAGATTCATCATTAATCATGGGGAAGTGCAAATCACTATCACATCACTCCAGTAAGATTGGCTATTATCTAAAAGAATTAAGTGACAGCAAAAATGTGCAGAAAAGAGAACCTTGGTGAACTGTTGATGGGGGTGTAAGTGAATACATTCATTATAGAAAATAGTATGAAAGTTCCTCAAAAATTAGAAATGGAACTACTATATGATCCAGCAGTCATACTAGTTGGGTATAAATCCAAAGGAAATGAAATCAGGTTGCCAAAGAAGTATCAGCACCTCCTTGTTCATTGTAGGACTTATTCACAGTAATAAAGAAATGGAAACAACCTAAATGTCCATCAGCTGAAAAGTTGTAAAGAAACTGTGGTACACATACGAAGGAATGAAATTCTGTCATTTATTATAACATAGCTGGAACGAGATATCCTTATGTTAAGTGAAATAAGGAAGGCACAGAAAGACAAGCACCACATGCTTTTACTCATCTGTTCATTGTAAGAAAGGCAATCTTCTAGAAGTTGAAAGTAGAATGGTGGTTACCTGAGACTAAGAAGAATGGTAAGGAAGGGAGGGTAAAGAAAGGTGAATCCATGGGTACTGGGTTACGGTTAGATAGGAACCAGAGGTCCTTTGTGCTATTGCAAAATCTGTTGATTTTGGGTGACAGTCACACACTGTGTAACTCAGTGAACTAGAAGAAAGGATTTTGAATGTTTTCACTATGAAGAAGCAATAAATATTTGAGGAGACAGATGTGTAACCTGATTGAAATGCTAGACAATGTGTTCATGTGTCAAAACATCAAATGCTACCCCATTAATATGCACAATTTTTGTGCCTGTTAAAAATAAAGTTAAACAAAGAAGGAATGCTGATTACCCTGATTTTAATATTACAATTTGTGTTAATTGGTTGAACTGTCATACTATACTTCATAAACGTGGGCAATTATTATGTGTCAATTAAAAATAAAACAAAGAAGTGGATTGTTTTAAATGAGTACATGTGGTTTCAGTATTATACTGCATATATTTATATATGAAGCATATACATTTTTTGCATTATTAAATAATTTAAATTTTATTATTATGCTATTTACCACTGCACTATTTTAAAACTTATTTTGCAGATAATGTGACTTTGTATAAATCAATGCCATTTAAGCTCAGATTTTCAGGCCTTTGTGATGATTATTCATACTTAACTTTTCTTTTGATGAGATGCAGTGATGATTGCCCTATGTGATAATGTTATTTATTTGAAATTTGTACAGGATAACCTAAAAAATAAAAACACAGTTCCATAAGGCTTAACCCTGTTGCAGTTAGCAAGGCTTTTAGGTTTTAAAAAATGATAAACCTCATTATGTCAAAATATAAAGTGTAATGGCACAGTGCACGTATAGTATACCATTAATTAAGGTTGGGCGTGGTATGGAAGACTGGCGTATGGGGTATTTCAATAGAGGATAAAGAAACAGAAGTCTTCTGTCTGTGAAATGAAATAATCATTATTATGTACAATGTCAAAAGTGAGGGAATAATACTAAGTCTGGAAAAACACACTAACCTATTGCTTTGTTCTCTTGCTTATAGCTGACTTTGGCCTGGCAAAGCAAAAACAAGAAAACAGTAAGCTCACGTCTGTTGTTGGAACAATCTTGTATTCCTGGTAAGGATAATTGCCTCATACGCGTCAGTCATTATATTTGACGAGTGTTGGCTTTCATTTCTATTTTTAGCTTGCAAAGAAAAGAGCATTCTAGGAAAGACAATTTATTTAATAAATTTTATTTGATTATCTAAATAATATACACAAAAAAGAATTGCGGATCATTACATATATTTAAAACAACCACCAAAAAATTGCTTTGTTTTCTAAAATAGCTGCCTCCTTTATGGGGACTGCTTTTATAACTTCTCAGTTGGAGCAATTCTTAGCACATAATTGGTGTGCAATAGTTGTTGAATAAATCTGCAAATAAACTAGTAGAAGTGCTATCCAACATGACACTCGGGATAGTTTATTACATCTACTTGTAAGCACCTACTTTTTATCTCTTTTACCTATGAGCATTAAAGTCCAGGAAGAAGATTTTTATACCCTGTTACTTATCATGGTACTTGGAAAATAGCAGTTTTTGAATAAATTTTATTTCATGAATGAATAAAAGTTGACATATATATTTAGGCACATGTATACAAAGTGAGTTGCTTCTTGAGCAAATCAGTGATGAATTGAGACACTTGTAACCTGTAAAAGAATACTTTGAGAGTCTTTCCAAGCTATTATTATGAAGTGAAAAATCTTTTGCTAATCATATCATTTATCTCAATTTGTTGAAATTAGCAAGCTGATATGCTACTCAATATAATAGCAAATATCAGAAAAATATTCTGAAATATGATTCAATGTGTCAAGCAATCAAGAGACTTTCTTTTTTTAAAATTTGGCCTATTGTTGTAAATTGAGCTCTGGGGATAGAATTGAAAATAAATTTTCTTGAGAGAGGTTGGAATTGTCTTGAAATAACAGCCCAGTTTTATGAAATTCTTTCATTTATGTTTATTTAGAATAATGTTTGTAGAGGGTGACTTGGCTTATTTTACTGGAAATTTCTTACGTTTTATTTTTAAAACTAGCTTCATGAGAAAATGCAAAAAATAAAAACAAGCAAACAAAAAACTGGTGGCCAGGCTAGTATTCCTTGAAAACTGTAAGTTTACTTTCATATTTAACCTGTTAAAATTCAGGCAGACCACCTATTAACTGCTGATAGAATAGCTATTTTTTCCTTTACTTGCATGGTTTTTCAGAAATAATGGAAAGTTGATCACAAAAATGTGAACTAGTAATATATTCCTGAAAAGATTTGATTGTCAAAATTACAGAGTGGATAAAATACAAACTTAAATTTCAGTTATAATTGGTGTAAGCAGATTTTTGTTACTAAGACTATGAATTAAGTTCACAGTTGTTAATATGACACTTTTGTATATGTGTATTTGTGTAATGAATGTACAGACTTCGTAGGAAGAAATACAAAAGATGAGATTTTGCTTTCTTATCTCAAAGACAGATCCACAATACCTGTTAATTTTTAAATTACCTGGAGAGTTAGAAAAACTGGACCCTACTAATATAGATAAGCTATTATTTCATGTAGGTATAGCATGATTGTTTTAATAACGTGTGCAATGTGTTTTATTACCTTTCATCTTTCTATCAATTCTTTGCTCTTTTAAATTACCTCAAAGTTTTTTTGTTTATTTCTCTTCTTTTCCCTCTACTCCAGTTACTAGAAATTCCTTCTTCACCGGGTTCAACTGTGAAGTTGTTCTTATATCTGTCTTCCTAGTTTTTGATATCTTCCACTGTGTATGAAGTTAAAGAACTCAGTTTGAGATTATATCCTGTTAATTTCTAATCCTGAGATTCTCCAAAACAGACCATTAAGCATGGACTCAAATGAAATTGTTGGTGAGAGGTCCTAGGACACCCTACTAGGGGAGCAGGAAAGGGGCAGTGAAGGGAGGGCAGCTCGTACAATGAACATTCAAAGTCAGGTTGGCAGAACATTATAGGAGATAACAGCATGGGTGTTGCTTTAGAGTTGTCCTATTGCTGGATGAGAAGTTGGGGTATTTTCTGCTCAGTCGCAAGTGGGAAAACTCACGCTTGGGCTAGGAGAAGCCCTCAGAGAGGGAGTCCCGGGGCCTTGTTTGGGGTACTATGATGCTGACTCAGCTGAAAAGCGAGTAGAAGGGGACCTGGCCAGGGTCCTGACATTGTTAGGTCTGGGAGAACTTGAGTCTTAATTAATTCAAATGTAAAATGTATTCAAATAAATTGCTTGATATGGCCAGTTTCTTTTGAATTTTCCGTATCTTCATTTTGGTGCTTTCCCTGAATTTTTAAATTGGAGAACAGTGACGTTAATATCTTTCACAATCACTGTTCTGAACCTCGCATCTCATGTCTTTTCTTGGCTTGCTTCTTATCTTAGAGTAGTGTCCCTCTGCAGGCATGCAGAGCCCTCTGTGTCAGCATATCAGCCAAGTTGTTTTTTCTAGACTAAAACCTCAGTATTCAGGTTCTAGTGTAGCGTTGCCACTTTGCACTCAAAAAGTGGCTTTTGAGTTGCAGTTTGGGTACTTGGTCTCTTCTTCACATGACATCACTTCCCTAGAGTACTTCTTTTCAAATTTTGTAACTGTGGTGTGATTCTTTGGAGCTCTGGAACTATCAGTGTGGCTTTGTGATGCCTGGGGAATCTCTATTCCCGTTCCCCATGGTCCTCAAGTTTGATGCACTTTATATTCCTATATAGTTTTCCCTTTATTTTTTGCTTTGGTTCCCCTGATATTCACTTACTTTAGAGGAGAAAGTTCTCTTTATCAATTCTTATAGGAAGTTTTTCTGTGCATGCTCTGTTCTTCATGGAGCTGCTAGATAAATTCTTTGTAGGCACATAGCTGAAGTGATTGTGCTAGAACGGAAAGTTCAATAAAAGCTCCTTTTCTTCAGCTGATTGATTCATTATTAGGCAAGTATTTGTTATCTTCTCAAGGAAAATAATCTCTAAGTATGATTTTTGTTTCCTTTTTTTTAAAAAAAAATCTCTATGTCTTGCTCTAATTCCAGAGGAAAAAAATAACAGACCATCTTCAAATACATTTTCAGAGTAGATTTAGGATTTGAGTCTCTGGGAAATAGTTCATGCTAATTCTCCATGGAACATGTATTTGTCATTTACCAAGTGAGTATGAAATAATGAAAATGGAAAGGTTTAGCTACTACTGGAATGAGAATTTTTTGAGACCACACTACTTATTATGATCCTATTCACATTATGACACTAGATAATTGGAGAAGCTTGTAAAGTTGTTATTGGGAAGATCAAAATAGTCCTGTATAGAAACCCAGATAAGTTGAAATAAAGTGAGGCATGCCCAGCTGTTGACTGTACTTCTTAGAGTCTTAAGAAAGCTATAAAGCACTCAAAATTTAAAATCTTAAAAGGCTTAAGACACTTTAGTCACTTCTGATTGCTCATGTAAAGACGAAGTTCTCAGCGTAGCTATAACGATATAACCCTGCATGTTTAGGCCTTTGCTAGGTTCTCCAGCTTTACGTCAAGCCAGACTTTACTCTAGTAACTCCACCTGGGCCCTCTGCCCATAGGGCCTCTTACACATGCTGCTCCCTTTACCTGGAATACCCTTGTCCCTCCAGCTTGTCAGCTGATTTGCTCTTACCTATCCTTAAGCTCTCAGCTGGACTGTAGCCTGTTCAGGTGAACCCTGAACAAAGTACATTTCCTGTGATCTATACATTCCATGTGCTTTTCCTCCACACAGTTGAATATTTTATTTATTTTGTGATAGTTTGTGATAATTTTGTTAAGTACTATCCCAAGCACTGAATCCAGTAGTCTCACAAAAACATTTGCTACGTGAGTGACCCAGTGCTTCTATGATTGTGAGAATACCAAAATGATGTAGTATAAAGAAAATTATTCTCTTTTATTGTGCAAAATTATCATGTGCTATCATCCCTCCCAGTCCTTCGCCCCCCCTGCTGTTTTTTATTTTAGATCTCTAAAATGTTCCCCTTTAGAATTCTATTCTTCTAGTTAGCTGCACAGTTCATTTCCTTACTTTGTTCTGGTCTCTGCTTAAATGTCACTTATACAGAGAGCATTTCCCTGATCATCTGCCCAAGATAGAAACCTCCCCACAGACTCAATTCCCAAATCTTGCTTTAGTATTTCATGGCTGCTGTTTCTTCCTGATCTTGTATTGTACAGATGATCTCCAACTGTGGCGGGTTTGATTTACAGTTTTTTAACTTTATGATGGTGTGGAAGCAGCATGCATTCAGGAGAAACTGAATTTTAATCTTTTCCTGGGCCACCTTGTGCAATAAAATGCCTTCCAGGTGCTGGCAGTGACAGTGAGCCGCAGCTCCTAGTCACTGAACACAACCAACAGTGCCTAGCGTACTCTGTTGCCAAGGTGTGCTATTCAGCAGGTTAGGGGTATTAAACACATCTTTGACTTACAATTTCTTCCTATCCAGATATAACCCCATGGTAAGGAGAGGAGCATTTGCATTTGGGTGGTATATCATGAGTGTTCCCCCCCAAAGCACAGACTGGATCAGGAGCATAGGATCTCTGCCTCCCTGGCTCATCATGGTTTGTCCAAGACCCAGAGGCTTAATGTCAGAATCTTAATAAATATTTTGAATAGATAAAATGAAAATAAGTCATTCTTCATTTTAATGCAATTAAAATCAGAGTGCCTGCCTTTTTTCTTTTAGTGATGGTGGTACTGGGGACTGAACTATCCTGAGCAAGCACTCTGACACGGAGCTACATCCCAGACCTTTTAATAAATTTTATTTTGAGACAGAGTCTAAGTTGCTAAGGCTGGCTGCAAACTTGCAATCCTCCTGCCTCATCCTCCTGAGGCGCTTGGATTACAGGCTGTGCTAGCATGCTCAGCTTACTGTTTGTTTTTTACTGGCCTGTAAAGTGGAGATGAATCTTTGAACTTTTCTTTCTTTTGCCTCAGTGAAGTCTGAAGTGAGTGTTTTAATTTGGTGCAGTAAGCACATTGATGGCAAACTCTGTTTCATTTTTTTGCATTCATTTATTGTTTATTTCA